CCAGCGGGAAGAAGCAGGCGTCCCCTGGCCGCCCGGGGGCATGTCAAGGATCTGAGATGCGATTAAAGCAGGAACTATCACCCCAGGGCTGGTCCAGCCAGGACTAGGGGAGCTCTGGTCACTCTGGCCCCACAGCTACCCTGCCCGGCTGCTGGGCCCTCAGGAAGCACAGTCAGTCACCTGTGTGTACAAATGTCTTCCCTGTGTGTGTTGACTCTGCTGCCCTGGGGCCCCGCAGCAGGACCACTGCCAATGGCTGCATGTGGCTCCACGGGCCATGTGTCTCCGGACACCAGCACACACGCAGATTCAACATCACGGCTACTGGACATCAGTTGTTCTTTTTAAGCTCTCTCTCTCCTCCACAGTCCTCACATTTTAAACAAGTTTCACATCAGTGTCCACGTGTTGGGAGTACGGGCCTGGCTAGGGGAAGAGGTGTGTTTGTGGAGGGGCTCAGCCTGGCTCAACTCAACAAGACCATGGCCCACGAGGGGGTCCATCCCAGGTCAGCCAGGGGGTGACCAAGCAGAGGGGTTTTGTGGGCTCTGTTATCCACCTAGCATAACGGCCAGGGCTCGAGATAGGTACTCTGGACCTCTGTCAACCTGACCAAAAGGACCGCATAGCTCCTGGGTATCAGCTCAGGTCGGGGTCACTCTGTCAATCCGGGCCACAGATGCGGGAGGATCTTGAGATTAAGGAAATAGAAGGGCCAAGTGGAAAGAACTCCCCAGGAAAGGGAGAGAAGCTGGGGGAGGAATCCTAAGACGGCCCCGCCTCACAGGGCCTTCCCGGTACTGGACACTTGAGAACAAGTGAGGGCCGCTGGAACCCAAAAATTACAGAGCCACTTCCAAGCCCCCGCACTCCGTGACTCAGCCTGACCGCTCCGTGGGGCGGCCGGAGGGCCCAGGGCACAGCCTGTGCTAGTTCTCAAAGTGAAACCCAAGTCGTGACAAACAGGAGCCATGGCCAGTGACAGTTCTCAGGGGTCCCCCAAGGAGCTAGAGGCCCCTCAAAGGCAAAGCCCCACTGGATCCACTTCTTCCATTATATCCAGGAGCCCCTGCTCCGGCCTCTGGGTTTTGTTTTCATTTGACTGTTGCAAAAAAAAAACCAAAAAAAACCAACCTTCAAGGTCATTCCAGATAACTCAGATACGGAGCCCAAACCCTTCTGCAGTTCTCCCCGCTCCACTCCTGCAAGAATGTTTGCTATCCCGTCCTCTCAGCCTCTGCCTTGACTGTGATCACTAACAATCACAGTCAAGTTCACTAGAGTGTGTGTCCTGGGTCTCTGTAAGGTCCTAACCCTGCAACAATGAAAACCAGGGTGCATTCCTTAATTCCAAACCCCCAGCTGCTTACCGAGCACGTTACCAAGGGTGTTCTTCCAAACACGCTGTAATAGAACTGTTCGGCTTTTCATTCTGTCCCGTCTAACCCTCAGCCCTGGCCCTTTCACAGGTCAGGAAGCAACCTGATAGACTCGAGCCTTGAGTCACCTCGCCCCAAACGCTGCTGGATTGGAGGCCCCATCAGGACGCCACCAGCCGTCACTGACCACAGCAGGGCCAAGACTTCATCCCTTTGGCCTGCTCTCTATCATCCCACTTAAGCACTTACGGTGACTATGGAGCCAAGGCCAGCGCATTTGGGAGGCTGTCTCCGGGATAGGATCTGCATGTGTGGAAGTCTTGGTGCTTTCAATGTGAGTCATTTAAAAACTCACCCAACTCTGAAAAAGTTTTCCATAGCCCTAGCCTGCTGCTCTCACCCCGGCAGCCTTTAATACAGAATGGCCAATGTCGCCTGCTTCAACCTCATCATGGGTGACCTGCATTACAACGACAGCCTGCATACCAGGGGGCAAGTGCTTATTGAGAAAGCAAGAGGTTACTTGATGAACTGAAACATTCTTTTTGGATACTGTTCTAAGCATCCTTCTATCCAGGGACAGCTCCTCAAGAGTTGCTAGCACACACCTTCACTGGGAACACACTCACAGCCCGAGAATCCACACATCAAAACATATATACGCACAAGCTTCCCTCCTTAATAACCTGCTCCTTCCAGCCACAGCTCTTCTTGGCCCAGGCACCTTGAGTCACTGCCCGGAAGTTCACCATCACCCCATTTAAGCTTGGAAGAGTGGGTTCAGCTCTGGGACTTGGGCCTGCACCACTGTGTGCAGGCACCACTGTGTCCTGCAAAGATCCTGTCTTCTCTGAGCCTCCTGGTTTCCCAGATGAGCTTTGCGGAGATGTGTGTGGAAGGGCTTCGTGCTGTGGGACGTGCCAGACTCACCTGTGAGGCTCTGAGGAGCGCATTGTTCTCTGCCTGGGACAGTCTGACACTCGGTGTGGATTAATGCCTGTCCCCCAGGGGCCACAGGGGTCACACCTTTGATCATTTGAAAAAGTTGACCTTTTCTATGAGGCTTTGGAGCACACCAAAAAGACAAGTCTGAGCGCCAAGGGGGGGGGTCCCCCAACCCCCACCCTGGTCTCTGGCAGATCACAGTTCCTATAAGTTTGCCCAAACTATGGAATGGGTGGGTTCTAACAATTAGAAACCAAGTTGACAAAGTCACCCTTAGGTTTGATCCATTATAGTTGAGCAAATGGATACATTGTTTCCAAACTCTGGGAGGCAAATTCTCATTGAAAACAATTATACAGATGACAGTGCAACCAAATGCTGCCCATCTGTGCTCCTGATTCCCGCAGCCTGAGACTGGGGTATGAGCCCCACAGCTTGGGGGTAGGGAGGGAGGACAGAGAAGTAGGTAAACTCTGACAGACATGCTACCCCGGTCATCTTCCCTCAGTCAGGATGTTTACAACGTTTACCTGAACCAACCAACACTGAACCACTTCTCAGGGCCCTCTGGAGTGGACCAGGACGGGTCTGCACTCACCCGTGCTGCAGGACAGTGTCCAGTTCTACGCTGGGACATCTCACTCAGGGTCGCTTTGTAATGAACACACAAAGGAAGTGAGGCCAGAGAAGACCAGTATAAACTCCTCTTTATGGCTGGTCTAAGGCCAGCTCATAGACAGAGGCGACAACTTTAAATACAGGTCATCTCAAAATGAAATGGCGCTGCCTGGTCCTGTCCTGCTAGAATGTCCTAAAAAATGGCTGCACTGGAGTTCATAAAAGCCCCTGGGGTCATCCTGGGCTCCCCTGCTGGTTCACCCATCCCAGCCCTCTAAAGGAGTGACACACACCACCACTACCACCCCCGCCCCCAGCAGAGAGTCCTTTTCCCTCTTCTAAATCAGCGCCCATTCAAAGGAGTTCACTAGAAATTAACATTTACCTAATGACTTTTCCCTGCTGCTCTGGTGAGATTCCTAAGGAGCTTTGTGCCTCTCAGGTGGTTCAAATCCACTAGCAGCTGGCTAATCTCTTCCTGTGTAAATTAAAGCCCGGTCAGACTCCATGGCCAGGGCTGTTTCTTCACCTAACTTCTCTCCCAAGAACTGGCCTTAGCAGGAACACTCCCAAACGTGGCCTGCAATATACTTGGGCCAAGACGGGGCCCTCTTTCTTTCTTAGGAGCTGCATGTTGTTAAAGTGCCTGCTGGCCACAGCCCCATCCCCTAGGACTCTTTAAAGACAGAGTGAGATTCCCATGCAGGTATCCACTCACGCAGACATCCTATCGTAAAGTGCCGCTGTAGCTAGGAGCAGTTGAGTCTACATTCTAAGCCATGCCCAAGCGCTCGGGCTGGCAAATGTGAGAATCAGGGGTTTTGGCTGGGTTTTTTTCTTTAAAAAAAAAAAATAATTATCTATTCCTCTGTAGCATTCACTATAAATCAGCCTGTCGGTGCCCACCACCAATCACCCTAGCAGGTAGATGCTGTCACTGCATCCACACTGCAGCAATGGAAGGTGAGGGTTGGGGGGGCCGCTGAAGTTGCTCAAGGACTTGGGGCCCCCAGACCTCCAAGTTACTGCCTCCTTTCCCTAGAGATTCCCTGATTTTAAAAGACAATTAATGGTGTCATTCTAGCTTCTCCTAAATACCATTTCACCTGGGGGAGGCACGTTCACCTGGGAAAGCTTCAGTAATAGAGGCCCCATAAAGACACTTGTTTTGTAATAAGTGAATATTGTGTGAGGCTGAGCTGCTGTTAACATTGTGCAGGAGAATAAGATCCCCCCAGAGCGGACACCAAGGTCAAACTCGGACCTCTGTTTTCTTCCTCTATCAAAAGACTAAATGCAAGCGCGAAAGCCGTTCCTGCAATCAGTCGGTTGCTAGCGTGAACACGAGGGCGCGTGTGCGTGCACACACACACTCACAGAATTTCCTCTATGGCCTGGGGGCCTTACAATGTTCACCTTATCTCCATGCCTGTCTTGGATGCTTATCGTAGCCCCAGGCGGCTTCTCCACCCCTTCCAAAGCTGTTGACCTCTCCAAGGCGCTTCCTCTGCGCACCTGTGACCTAGAAAGCAAGACCATGGCGGCAGGAGGCTTGCTTGCCTGGCCTCATGGACGCAGGAGGTGGCCCTGAGCGCTTCTGATGCACCAGAAGCAGCAGGGCGGGTTCAGGCTTCCCAGGGGCCGAGGTGCTGAACTCCAGAGGGACAGCCTCTGAAGCTGCGGGGACTGAGATGATGCCTGGGAGGCGGGTGGCAGAGAATGCGGGCGATATGGTTCAGCATCAGTGACAGACATACTGCTACCCTACTGACCACGGATCCCGAGCCTTAGATGTGGGGTTTCGTGGGAGCAGGACCCGGCAAACAGCATAGAGTGAGCTCCAGGGTCGCTGGATGTGGAGTGTCCCCAAGCCTACCGTGCTTCTCAGAGAGAAGTCCTTGTCCCCCCAGTCCCTACTTTATGTGGAAACTTTTCAACCAGCCCGTTTGGGAGGTTTTCTGGGCAGGTCAGAAGTGCAAACTTGTTCTCCCAAAGCTCCTGCCCACACACACCTTTTGGGTGCATATGGTGGGTACGAAAAGCAAAATGTGACCCGTCTACAACGCCGTCACTTTATTGGATTGTCACCGTTAACTTAACTATAAATACTACGGTGGGGAGCGAGCGCCGCCGGCTGCTGTGCGCCCCTCGGACGCTACACCGGGCTGTACACTATTCACAGCTTCTCGTCTCTGGATCTACTCCCCGCAAGGCAGCGCGTGTGCAAGTAGCATCGTCCATCTGTGCAAGTCCTTGGAGTCAGGCAGGCGCCCGGGCCGACCCGCGGCCGTCAGCTGTCCGAGTCCCGGTCGCTTTTACCTTCCTCTTCCCGCTTCGGCGGCGAAGCCTTGCACGTCGTCTTGTTCCACTTCTCGGCGTTTTCCGATTCGGACGATGACGACCTTTTCTGCCTCCTCCATTTGGCGCGGCGGTTCTTAAACCAGACCTGTTGCACAACGGGCAGACAACACAACAATGAGAACCACATTCGCGCGTCCCCACAGCCTGGCCACCCCCTTGGGAGTTCAGCGCGGCGCAGACCGGACCGGGAGAGGGCCTGAACCGGGGAGCGCCGCGAGTGAGGCAAGACAAGGAGTTGCGCCTCCCGCTCCCGCACTTCCATCCAACTTCCTGGGCCCCCAGCGCGCCAGCAGGGCCGGCCCGACGGTCTGGAATGCGCAGGAGAACGTGCGCATGAGCCCCCCCCCCACCCCGCGCGCCTACCTCCACCTTCTCCTCGCGGAGATGCACCTTCCGCGCCAGCTGCTCGCGCGTGCCCACGTCTGGGTACTTGGTCTCCTGGAAGAGGTTCTCCAGCGCTTCGAGCTGCTCGTCGGTGAAGATGGTGCGGTGTCTCCGCTTCCGCCGGCAGTGCAGCTGGTTGAGGAGCTGCAGCTCAGTGCGCGACAGCGTGCCCACGTTCATATAGGGGAGCATCTGGTGCGGCACCGGCGACACCAGCACCGAGCCGGGGCCCTCGTAGCCTGCAACAGAGCGGAACGCACGCTCAGTCCCGCCGGGACGCGATCGCCCGCCTCTCCAGCCCTAAGCGCACTCAGAATTCGTCAGCCGGGACGTAGTGAGAATTGAAGGCGCACGGGAATGTCCAACCGTCCACCCTCCAACCAGTTCTAGCATCCTAAAAGACTTCTCCCCGTGCGACCACTAGCCGCGGTGGCTCCAAACTCGCCTGAAGTTTGCACCAAGAAGCTGGCAAACTCCAGTCAACATAAAGGAAGGTGTGTGCAGATTTGCGAAGGGAGAAATGTTTGCGCAAAATGTAAGCCAGCCACCCCGCCGCCCCGTCCCGAGCCCGAGGGGCCACAGACCTACCTGGGGGTGTGGGGACGCAGGAGCACTGCTGGGCGCCCAGGGGCGGCACGGCGCCGCAGCACGCCGGGCCCACCGGCGCCGCCTGCACGTGCAGCTGCCCGTAGAAGTAGTTGTTGTAGCCCAAGCGGGAGCCTCCGACCGCGGCCGGGAGGCCGGCGCCGCCGGGGGCCACAGGCCGCGGGTAGAAGGCGCCGTAGTCCGAGGAAGAGGCGCCGCCGCCGTAGAGCGCGTCCCCGTGCAGGGCCGGGAAGACGACGGGCGCCGCGGCGCTGGGCGCCACCGGCAGCACCGAGTCCTTACAGCGCGGCCGGGCGGCCAGGATGTTGTCGATGCTGAACATGCTGGCGGGCATCCCCGAGGTCGGCGCCGGGACCAGGCCTCCGAGCTGGGGGGGTGGCGCTCGCCTCGCTGCTGAGCAAAACGAAAGGGCAGCAACAAGCGCGAGGGTGCAGCCGCGCCCCTCCCCGCCCCCTGCGTCCGCGCCGCCTGCGCTCTGAGCTCTGCGCTCTGCTGCCCGCGCTCTGCTGCCCGCGCCCTGCGCCCGCCCCGCGCGCCTAACCCAGCTCAGCCAAGGACGGCGCTCGGGCCGCGCAGCCGCCGGGTGGTTTTATACCGAGTCGACGTCATCCGGATTTAGTTCCTGGTAATAGGCAGATGACAAACACAGTCCGATTTGGCCCTGGCCTTTCCTTTGGGTGGGGGACGTAGGGAGGGGGCAGAAGGAGAAGTGCCAAAGGGGAGGGGGCTGCGCGGCTTGCGAAGCGATTGTGGATTGCCAATTAATGAAATTAACCTAATCTTTTCCATGCCGCGGCCCCGCTGCAGGCCGGCGGAGTTGGGCGGGCGGCCTAATTGCCCCGGTTAATCTCATTAATTCCATTGTGCGGCCCCAGCTAACGACTCCCCCCCCCCCCCCCGCCAGCCTTCTCGCCTCCACCCTGCTCTCTCAGATTGCGTCCTATTACTGGGTGCGATTTCCTCTGCCTGTGGCTGAGATCCACTGCGGCCCTCCTTACTTAGGGGTTACTTCCCCTCGTTTTGGAATTTGTTGTCGAATATGAGGCGCTGCGTCCTTCCTCGGCGGGGCTGGCCTTTATCGCTCCTCCTCCGAAGGCCCCCCACCCCCATACACCTATCTGCGTATTTTTTTCCCTCTCGAACTTCTGTCCCGAGTGGAACTGGTTAACCCACCCAGAAAACTTTTGTTTTCCCAAACACCAAAATTCTGAAAGTCAAAAATCGACGGAAGAAGAGGTACATCGTGGGTTTGGTGGGGTTTGTTTTTGTTTGGTTTTTAAAAAACCCCAAAACCCTAAACAATCCAAAAGTTTTGAGTTTTCTTTTCCTCAGCTCCGTTGGGTCTGGAAGTTACTAACGCAGCCGCTAGGCCTTTCCACTCAGAAACCAAATTCCGCCCCTAGTTCAGTCCTCCACCAAGATCAGCTCCGGGGCGCGGTCTGCAGCTGGCCCAGCCTAGGTGTCAGGAGGTTTCTGTTCTCTTTTTCTAACTTTGGGGTTTCTTCTCTCTCCTGTTCGCTCCTTCTCCCTGCACCTCAGTTCAGACGTAGCTTCCCAAACAGCTGAGTAGCTTTTTCTGCGTGCGTCCTGCCCTGGGCCCGGCAAGCCTGGCTTGGATTCCTAGGTTCCCGGCGTCCTGGCGGCGCACCCAGCCCGGCTCGGCTCGCGGCAGGCGGCTACCGTGTCTGCGGGAACCGAGGCGCAGCCAACTGTCCCGGGGCACAGGCAGCCAAGTGCCCTCCGTTAGAAGGTAGGCAGCGGGCGCGCGGGAACGAAGCGGCCCGGGACGCCGTCCTCCCGGCCCTTCGGTAACCCATTGAGACCGCTCCAGAGGACCGGCAGAGCTGCGCCCGGGCCGCTGCGCCGAGGTTCCGGGATGGAAAGGCCGCGTTTAGCTCCACACCGTTTTTCTCCCTCTGGCTAAATTAGCCAGGGGTCCCTGCAGGGCTGTGTGAAGCCGCCGCAGTTGGGCTGAGTGAGTGCGCTGCTCTCTGCGGCTCTGGGGCCTTAAGGGGAAAGGGCACGTGCTAATTGCTGGTCGGGGTCAGAGGGGCCCTGGCGCGCAGGTTTAGTTTTTTAGGGGATCAACCCTCGGGCGGGGGGCGGGAGCGACGGGGCGAGCGAGGTGGCGGCGTTCTGCTCTGGGGCTTCTGCGCGCGGACCTCCGCACCCGCCAGCTCGCGGCCTGAGCCCCGCTTCTTCCAGAGCAGCGAAACCGAGAGGGGGGCACGGCCTGGAGGTGCAGGCGGGGAGACGAACGGGTAGACTGAGTTGTTACACCGTGAACTTTTGGGGGGCGAGTTTAACCCTCTTCTTCAGAGAGGTGACGACTGAGGTTGGAAGTGGCGAGCCCTTGTCTCAAATGAGAATGGAGGCGTTTTTCCATCCGTAGAGACTTCAACCCCAAGTCCTCTGGGCACATAACTCCTGCCAGTCTCTCCCAGGTGTACCTGCGGAGGGCATTTGATGGAAGTCAAGTAGGTGTGCACTTCGACTGGCAAGTGGGCGGCGTGAGTGTGTGTGCGTTCGCGCGCAGAGAGTGGACACCTTCGGAGCCACTTGAGGGCCGCAGGCCGCTGGGGCGCATTCAATCTTTGTGCACTCAGGCCGGCCTGACCAGGGGGCCCCCACTCCAGACTTGAGTCTCAGACCTGAAAGTGCCACCCCTGAGTTTTTACCAGTATGTGTGACAGCCAGCCTTCCAGCACGGACAAGCCTCTTTTCCTGACACGTTTTCCCGTTTGCATGATCGGGGTTAGCCAGCTGTAAATGGGCTTTTGCTTTTTAACAGTCTTACAGGCTGTTCTGCAGCCCTGCCACCTTGCTACCGACCCCCAGATGGAAAAGTACTTGACAGGGGTGTGTGAGCACCCACTATCTAGACAGACCAGCTCCACCTTTCCAAGTTTTACCTATCTCTGGGCCTCAGGATTATTTTCAGCTGATCGAACTAACGCTAGCCTGTGTACCTTGCAACCTTAATATTTAATGAGGCGGGGTAATTGTCTCCATGGAAGTTGAGGCGACCTTTCCGTGTGTGTGTGTGTGTGTGTGTGTGTGTGTGTGTGTGTGTGTGTGTGGTAGGGATTTCTTCCCTTAAATTAAGGTATGTTCTTCCCACCTCTATTCAACACCCAGACAGGGATGTCTCCCTCAACTGCCCCAATAGGGACAAGAGGTCTCCAGCTCCATCCTCCCCAGGAAGCGTGACCTCACACCAAGCATTCCGTCTCCAGGGCTGCCTCGTCCAGGTCGCCCCTCCATCACCTCAGCAGGCAGTCACCCCACTTGGCCCTCTGGAAGGCAGGTCTCAGGGCAGGCAGGCGCCTCCTCCGCGGCTCCACCCTGGAGCTCCACAAACAATCAGCGGCCCCCGTGTGTTGCCTGGCGCAGTCGGAATACGGAACGCTACACACGCAAATTGCCCGCCTCGCGGAGCCAAGCGATTGATTGTTTGGCGGCCCCGCACGCACGGCTCAGCATGGGAGGCCCGCGCGCTTCCAGAGCCCGGCACGAGCGCTTAGGACCGAAATGCAGTAAACAGGCCGCTGATTTTCCCTATTATCACCCAAACACGATTTCCCACAAAGCAATCACCACGCCGAAGTCTATGAAAATGTGTTTGTGGCAGAGTCGGTCGCCACGGTAATAGCCCTCATTTTTAGGATATTAAAGAGGAGCTCGGTGGGTTGCACACGCGTCAGGTCTATTTGCCATCCGGCATTCATCAAAGCGCTTTTGCGCCGCGGCTATCGCGCAATTGATACGGAGAGGGGAGATTAAATTGCTTCTTTGACTTAAAAGTCAGGGCCCAAGTTTGGAAGTGTCTGTCTGGGCAGCTCCTCCCGCTACGAGATATTTTCATGATGGAGCAAACTGTCGTCCTACTATCTACCCCGCGTCTCCGCTGCTGTTTTTCAAAAAAAGGTGTGCGCAGGCTCAACGGCATCAGGTCCCTCTTAACTGTCTCTGATTCCTGCACTAACAGGGTTCATGGTTGGATACATTTCAATAGGATTTTTTTTTTCTTGCCAAGCACAAAGAGCTGTTGGGTCCTTTCATAGGGACCCTGTCCAAACAGCAGGGTGCGTTTGCACGTGCAGAGGACAGATTTCCAGACAATGTGCAGAACCTGCACCCAATCCCAGCAGCAGGGCGCATTGGCGAGAGAGCGCGCGCGACACAGCGGGTTTCAGGGTAATGCGCACAGGGCCCTCAGTGCCGAGACCCCAGCACTGTATGCATGGAACAAATTAATTTCCTTGTTTGCATTTGGACTTGGGGGTGAAAAAAAAACCCTGTGTCTCAAAATTAGGGCTTGAAAGTCACTTCAGCGGCTGTGGGTGATATTCCGTGCACAGCTGGGCCCACGGGGCGATGGAAAGGCGTGAACGCCGCCACGCACTCTTGGGCAGCGCGTACCAGGGCTGGTCCAGCGCATCAAGTAGGACGGAAGGACTATGGCTGGCTGATTTTTTTTTTTTTAAAAAGAATAAGTTTTGCAACATTCCACATAGAAGTTCCCAGAGGATGAAATAATGAAGGTGTTAGCAAAGCTCAACATAACGGTGAGGTGAAGAGAAGGTGGTGTCGAAAAAGGACACGTTCCCCAGGCCTCAGAAGGGGGGGGGGAAACAGCTCCGGGCCTCCCTCCCAGATTGAAGAGACCTGCCTTGGCGGGACTTTTTACCAAAGTTTGTTTCAAAATGACTGCGCCATTGCTTTTGCAAATCACACAGTGCCAAGGCCGATAATGCCTGCTCCTCGGAGGAGCGCGCTCTTGAAATGATTAGCAAAGTCAGTCATTTGAAAAGGGTCGCCCGCATGCATTTCCCCGAGCCGCTCTCTAACTGGTATCAGCTTCTAAAGTTTTCATTCATGTAAACCTCATTAATGAAGATCTTTTCTTTAAACGTCAAGGGGATTTGAAGTCTCGAGTAAACGATGAAGCTTGTATGTCTAGCCAAATCTTGGGTCAAATGCATTTGTGAAAAACTGCTAAAAAGAGCATATGGTTTTGAATTTTTCTACAATGACTAGTGTTTAAATAAATTGCTTGTACTGCTTAACTTCACGTGTAATTGTGACAGAAATTGGCCTATAGCCTTTTGGTATGTAAACACTTCAGCCTTTTATGCGGTATAAAAAGACATTTGCTTTTGAGGGTCACTACTGGCCGTCACCCTGTAATTCAAAAACTGGCACCTACTATTACAATTCTTGCTAGATTTCAACTTTCAAGTGGCAGCCTGGGGGTGGTGGGGCGGGGGGGGGGCGCAGGAAAGAAAAGGAAGAAAGAGGATATTTCAAAAGCAATGTCCATTTGGGATTAAAAACTGCAAATGAGGCA